TAGGTATATGTAGGTTTATGTACTACATAGTATATGCTAGCATATATGCTCAATAAATGTTTGTTTGTACAGTTTGTATAATCAAACGAATATTATATTTGTGAAAATTTGTCTGACTATCACGACTAAACGGCTGAACGGATCTTAATATCTCATATGAAAATAAGTGTCACGACAACGAATATAATCTACCTTTAACCTTAAAAAGAACACACAAAGTTACAGAAAAAAATAATATGCATACAATAAAATATAGAATATATTAATTGTAAACTAATAATAAACATTTATAAAATTACAATAAAACTACACAAAATTACACTTTGCCAATTGGCAATACGGCCTACTCGACATATGATGGTGACAGCTTACTGTCAGAGCGCTGTAGTTTTGAGTAAGCCACACGAATGGCCAATGACCATAACCTTAACGGAAAAAATACAATAATAATAATAATATAAACATACAAATAACTAATTGTTTATATTATGCGGAGATCAAACCTGTCACCATTTGAAGGTGAAACAATATATACTACAAATCCTACTCATTCTAACATAGGTTATAACAATATTTGTATGTTCCTTACGCTTCCAAATATCTTAACAACTTAACTAATCATCATGAAATGTCAGACTTACATGTAATTTATAAATGTCAAAGACAAGGACCACTTCTTATTGCAGTCAATATCAAATAGAAATAGAAATAGAAATAGAAATAATCTTTATTCAAATAAACTCATTACAAGCACTTTTGAATAGTCATATTTTGATTCTACCACTCATTCGGAATGCAGATTCATCACAAGAAGAATGAGCAAGAAACTTGTGTGTTGCTCTTTTTAATAGATGTTTTTTTTTATATAAATAATTACAGTATAACAAGTAAGAGGCATGCGATAATCAACATAGAAGTCGCTACGCACTCATTATTAATGTAATCAGATAATATTGTCAGTGCTATAGATTTAAAATTTTTCTATAAAAACATTATTATCGTTAACGAATTCTTCAATTTTATAGTAAGCTTTTTTGCAAAGGAACTGTTTTATTTGACATTTAAATCTTTTTTCTGGCAGATTTATAACAGACTCTGGTATTTTATTGTAAAACCTTACGCAATTGCCATAAAACGAATTACTAACTTTAGCCAAACGACATTTAGGTAAAATCAGTTTGTTATTGTTACGTAAGCTTTTATTAGTGCAATCACTAACTCTTTTGAAACTGTCTATATTCCTTCTGGCATAGATGATATTTTCATAAATGTATTGAGAAGCAACGGTGAGGATATTTGATTCCTTAAAACACTCTCGCAATGACTCCCTGGAACCCATACCATAAATGGAGCGAATGGCCCTCTTTTGTAAAGTAAATATTGTATTTATATCAGCTGCTTTGCCCCATAACAAAATACCATACGACATAATGCTATGGAAATAGCTAAAATAGACAAGTTTAGCCGTTGCCACGTCTGTTAATTGTCTAATTCTTCTTACCGCATAAGCGGCAGAACTAAGTCGACTCGCCAATTTAGTAATATGAGCACCCCATTGCAACTTGGAATCTAATGTGATACCTAGAAATACAGTATCGTCAACAAAATTAATAGATTTATTGTCCAATACGATTTTTGAATCTACCGGCCTTACATTGGGGAGAGTAAATTTGATACATTTAGTTTTATTTGCATTTAGTAGCATATTATTTGCCGTAAACCATTTTAAAGCAAAAGAGAGAGAACCGTTTACTTCGTCCATATCATCAATATGTCGATTGACTTTGAATACTAATGAAGTATCATCAGCAAACAGAACTATGTCAGCTATCTTTTCTACCATATAAGGAAGATCGTTTATGTAAACTAAAAATAAGAAAGGACCTAGAATAGAGCCCTGAGGAACACCCATTTTAATACTAGTTCCCTCAGACTTTACACCATTTATTTCAACAACTTGCATTCTATTATTTAGATAGGATTTCATCATGCATAGTGCTTCATATCTAATACCGTAATGTTCTAATTTGAGTAAGAGTGTTTCATGATCAACGCAATCAAATGCTTTTGAGAGGTCACAGAATACACCGATAGCATCCTGTGACCTCTCCCAACAGTCAAAAATGTGTTTCATTAAAGCTACACCAGCGTCAGTAGTTGATTTACCGGCTGTGAAACCAAATTGCCGACTGTGAAGCAGTCTATTTATTTTAAAGTGGTGAAGCATCTGATTGAGCATAATTTTTTCAAACACTTTACTTAGTACTGGTAAGATAGAAATGGGCCTATAATTACCTACTTCAGTTTTATCCCCTAACTTAAAAAGTGGAGTTATTTTACTATGTTTCATTAAGTTGGGAAAAACACCGTCAAAAATACATTTATTGAAGATAGTTACTAAATATGGAGCAATAACATCTATAGCGGTGTTAATAACTTTAACAGACATGCCCCAATGGTCTTCAGTATTTTTTAAATTTAATTGTTTAAATGTTTTAGTAATTGTAGCAATGTCAATAAATGTAAATTTAAATGTAACCGGACACGAAGCAACATTGTCAATAAGGAATGATTTAGCTGTACTTGGAGAAGAGTCCAAAGAGGACGTAATATCAGTTGGAATACTAGCGAAAAATTTTTCAAAAATATTGACTATTTCTTTTGTGGACGTTACTAGTTTATCATTATAATTTAACGTAAAATCATTATATGGACTTTTAACTTTGCCAGTTTCTTTATTAATAATATTCCACACTGTCCTAATCTTGTCCTTGGATTCTTTAATTTTTTTATTTAGATAATTAGACTTTGCTACATTACATACCTTTTTAAAAGTTTTTGAGTATCTTTTTACATAATTTACGAATGTACTATCGAAACGGTATTTTTTTTTGATCATATAAATCAAATAATATATTTCTACTTTTAAGAATTCCCTTTGTAGCCCATTCTGAAAATTTTGTTTTGTTACTAATACTGATAGTTTTTTTGTTAAAAGCCTTATTATATTCGTAAGAAACAATATTGAAGAAATCTGTATAAAGTTTGTTAGGTTCATCAGATTGAGGACAAAAATCTAATTTACTACGAACTGATATTTTAAATTTATTTATCTTATAACCAGTCAAGTCTCTTTTAATAAATTAATTTTCCTGATTTTGTTTACGTGATTTGGAAAAATTACTAATTGACCACAGTGATCAGAAGGAAGGTTATTTATTATTATTTTATCTAAATATTCACTGTTGCTAAATATGTTATCCAAACAAGTAGCAGACGTGGCTGTGATACGAGTGGGTTCGTGGAAGACATTACTCAAGTCAAAAGATTGAAATAAACTCATTAATTTAGTTTTTGTGGTGTTATGTGATAAAATGTCAACATTGAAATCACCACACACTATAAATTTTTTGTTAATATTAAATACTCTTTTTAAAATATCCTCCATTACCTCTTCAAATAAATTATAATCACTATTTGGAGGTCTATATACACACATAACTATATAATTTTCTAGTTCCACACAGGAAATTTCAATACAACACTCAACGGAAAGATTGCCAATATCACTACGTTCTTTTACTTTTATATTATTTTTCACCAATATCATGGAACCTCCTCTATTTACTATTTTTCTATTAAAGCAGCTGACAATATTATAATTGTTTAAGCTTAACATCATATTGCTCACTTTGAGCCAATGTTCAGTTAAACATAGAACATCTATATTATTTTTTTCTAAAAACAATTGAATAATTAATTCACAGCCGAGAAAACTTTGTATGTTCTGGTGAACAATTTTCAATTCTGATAGCTTTCCCTTTGTCTTTTTCAGCAGTTTAAATCTGCAGTCATATTTAAATTATTGTAAATAAAAGGATTCTTACTAGAATCAATATTTATGTCAATATTTTCAGAATGTTTAGTATTAACATTAGTACAAATACTACTAATTGGATTAGTGCAACCCATTATATTACTTATAATGGGGTCATTTATATTATAAGCTAGTAAACTAGCTATATTTCTTATTTGTTTTTTAGGCAGATAAAATCTATCTCCAGTCATACAAAAGTTTGTAACAAATTTGTTACTATCAAAAAATAAAAAGTCATTATGGCGACAAGTCATATTATAAATTAAATTATTAATATAATATATGAACTTATTTTGTTCAATAGTCAGAGAATGACAGTAAGGAAATGCACATAAAATTATTTTACCTATGCCCAACTCAGCAATATTAAGCAAAGAGTTTACAAGTTTAATGACATGACTTTTTTTTACATTTAAACAGTTGCCTAAAGCAATGACTAATGTGGTTAACTTATCATACCTATCATTAACCACCTTATTTAAAATATTAGGCAATGAAGCACCAGGTAGACAATTATTTATAACATGTTGAGATAAACTTTCTGATAATGAACGGCCCAAACCCTTACCATATTCATCTGAATAAATAATTGTCCTTCGTACTGGTGCAACATTACAATTATCAGTTTTTAAAGACAAGTTAGAATTGAGTAAATTTGAACAAGGAGTGATTGACTCAGTTAAGACTGATGTGATTGACTTATTGTTATTTCCATTAGGGCTATATTGACAAGATTTAGGAGATTCAGGTGTCTCACAACAACATTTCTCTGTCAATGAGGTGAACCGCTCCATGTTGTAATTACCCAACTCTATTAATTTATCCAGTGATTTACTATAGTTATTAATTTCATGTTGAGCACACTCATATTTATTTGTTAAATTATATAATAAAGATTCCAACTCTTGAATTTTACTCTTTAATTTATTTTGTTCTAAATCCTTATCATGTAAATTTGTTTTACAATTTTGAAGTTCTTGTAACAGGTCTAATTTTTGTCTTCTAATATTTATAGATTTTAAACATTTAGTATGAGTTCTCACTAACTTTTCTGACTTTTTAATAAATTTGTTTATTTTTATATATTTTTTTAATTTATTGACACTATTAAATTGACTAGTACAACTATTTGAGCTGGGTGTATTTGTTAAATCTATGGTCACCAACGGCTGAGTAGACTTTTGATCACAAGTGACATTTAACAATTCTGTATACAGATCTAAGGTGTTATTATAGCTACTCACCCGTTTGTGTTCCAACATAGATTCACTATGTGCTTGAGCTTCCTCAAGGTGTCTCTCGAGGTGAGTGATACGCTGTAGATTTGACTCATATGTGTCCCTGCAGTGATCATATTCATTAACAATTTCCTGAAGTCTATCCCTGTCAACGCGTAGGTCCTCACAGAATACATTAATGTTTACAAGTTCTCCCTTCAGGGCCACATATTTGTTAAATAGAGATTTCATCTCTATTTCACTATCATCCTGTTCCTGTAACAATACTTTATTCAAGTCTTGGGTTTTCTTTAATTCAACGAGGGCCACCTTAAGTTTAGCATCAAGATCACAGGCTCTTCGGGACATCATTATTAAATATGCTGAGTAATAAATTTAAATATAAAGGAATTAAATGGAATTTAAAACTTGTGCTATTTCCTTACAATAAAATATATTTATAAATATATAATATGTAAGTAATGTTAGTAAATATGTTAATTATAAATAACAATACTAAAGATTATTATATGTAAGAACTTACAGTTAGTACTTACAATAATATTTGGTTAGTGGGTAATTTTTTTTTTCCTCGACGCACAACTTGAATTCACTTTTAAAATTACCACAATATTAACATGTAACACAAAACAAGTAATAAAAAAGGAATGTTATAATAATTTAAATTGAATTACGCGATAACATATACAAGATTGATGTAAATATAAGTTTATTACGAACTCTGACAGTTGACCGGTAGGAAATATTTGTGTCGATTTTTGTACACAAATACAATATAAAAATGAACACAAACAACAATAGATGCTTCTTATAGCTTAAACTCACTAATTATATCAATTGCACTAAAAAAATCGAGTAATAAATTATATAAAAGTATTTAATTATTACGGCCAGCTGACAAAGACAGTTATCGGTAATGTTGCCAGTCGAGAAAAAAAAAAAAAAAAAAAAAAAAAAAAAAAAAAAAAAAAAAAAAAAAAAAAAAATCTCACTTTATCAAAATCTGGAGAAAATGCTAGTAATCAAGTACTATGTAAGTGTTCGACAGCCTCGATGGTCTAGTGGTTTAGCACACCGCTTTACGTCCGATGGTCGCGAGTTCGATTCCTCGCACGGTACAAACATTTGTATCCATGGGTATGATAGTTTGTATCGGTCTGGGTGTTTTCTATGTATAATATGTATTTATTTACAAAACAAAATGTATCCATGTATTTATATTATTTGTCTAGTACCCATAACACAAGCTCTGCTTAGCTTGGGACTAGATGGCGCTGTGCGAATTGTCCTGAGATGTTATTATTATTATTATTACTATATTTACAGAAATATTTACCAACTTAAAAATAACAAAACATTTTTTCGTTATTACTGTATTTATATTCAGCAAATTAACCTAAATTGAAACATATCGCAAATTGAAGGTAACTTAGTTTAAAGTACGTATTAAGTCAGCCTCGTAGAAGATGATTATTCACATTCAAACACACATTTTGTTAACTCACGCCCCACTTCTGAAGTTTCGAACATGCACGGACTTTAATAACAATTAGAGCAATAAATTTAATTATTAAAGTTTATTAAAAATATTACATAACGTGCTATGATTAAATTCGTAATTTAATTATTAAAGTTTTTAAAAACCTAATTTCTTTTTATACCATAGCCCACCTGGTAGTACACGGTATAAAAAGAAATTAGGTAGCATATTTGTACTTCTTCTTAGACCTTTTAAACTACGCAAAGGATTTTAATGCAGTTTTTAGCAATAGATAGAGTGATTCAAGTGAAAGGTCCACGAGTGTAAGTTTATTTGAATAAAAAATTTGGTATAAAATGAAGTCGTTTTCGCGGTCTGTTCGCTTGGAACTTTTAAAATATGAGTGATTCAAAAAGGAGGTGCTTAAATGTAAGTTTGTTTGTAGAAAACATTTTCTATTATATTTTAACATTGACATTTTTACTACTAACAACCCTATGTTGCATATGTATGTTGCTTATTATTTATTTTTGGACATACTCCAAATAATTTGTCGCTCGCATAATAAGCTATGATATCAGTCTAGACTTTGCGTAAAGCATCCAATTTACTAGTATTTGACAAATTGGATCAAGGAATGTGAGTTTTATATACGCTCGTATAGGCTACATGAAATACTATATTACATTTTTCTACGACTACATAAAATCTTCATAGAGTACCTACCATATATTTTAGTAACAATTTCGTAGGTATTTCAGATATCAGCCGAGGCATAATAAAAAATAGCAATACATATAAAAAAAAAGTAAAAAACCTTTTTTTACTTGTTTTTACTTTTTACTTACGAAAGAATTGAAAAAAAACCTACAATATATATTTTTGTATATTTTAATAGTTTGCGATGCCTATATTTATTAAATGATTGATGTTATTAATTTAGCTTTATAAATGAATGAATAAATGAACTAGATCATCTGCACTTCACTATAAGAATGCAATTTGGGCCCTCGGGGCGAGCGTATTTGCCCGCCATCAACTTCAGGGGCAATTATAGAACTGTAGTACATCACATTGCTCTATTGACAATAATTCCCGCAGTATAAATACCAAAAAATATCCATGTTTCGCGATATATACTTTATCAACGTAAGGGACCAATAACTATGATTTTTAGAATTTGTCGCATGTGTGCGCAATATTCTTAGAAACGGCTTAACTTATTCAGACGCGATTTTCACTAATGTATTGTAGTAAACTTCACTTCAAAGATATTTTTAATATTCGTGTTATTACAGTTTATAAAATATATTATTTGATAGGTACAAAGAAAATATTTCATATATAAATAATAACTCTATTATAAAGATACGTGTGACTGGAGCGGGAACACGACAACTATTTTTTTTTATTCCCAAGAGGGCTCGAAAAGAATTTAAAAGAGACATATAAAAAACTGATGAATCAAAATAATACAATATTTATAAAAATAACGGTGGACACGCTGCCAGCAACATTACATGTATAAATATTGAAAGAAAAAACAGATCAAGGAATAAATGACATACAGCCTACAAAAATATTGGTCCGATAAGTAACGGGCATAACTCAATAATACCATTGAGAGATATCTATCTATCTATATAACGACTACATCGACATTTTTGCTAGCTCCTCTAATTTTCTTGGATTATCTCTGTGCCTGCGGGAAAGTAACGGATGTTATAACATAACACAAACAAAAATATAAACGTGCCGCCAACGGTTCTGATGGTGGAAATATTCAAAATGACTTATTCAGAGGCTGCCCCGGACCTTGCCAACATGTTTGCAATATATATAATTTAATATACAATTTGTCCAATTAGTATTCCTGTTAATTATTGAGGCTTTTTTAAAAGTTTGAAATCTTTATTTTCAAATGCATTGGATACAAACAATTTACTTGAAGGTAGTCTGTGTCCCCCCCCCCCCCAATTCGGGGCTGTTCAAGAGCATTGTCAACTCTCTGATTATCTGATATATACGCAATGGCTAATTTTAATATATGTTTAATTCTAAACATGATATAATTAATATATATATTAGGGACGCCTGCCGCTTAGTGCCCGTATATATAGCAAATTAAGTGACAACAATTAATAAAGCATATATATGTACGGAGCCATCTAGTAAGTATCCTATATTAATTAATATAATTACTTATATAATTATAAATGGCATTTAGTAAAGTTTCGCATAATTTATTATTGCCTCCTTTGGAGGGTATTATATAATCTTTAGAGTATATGTTCACTCATATTTAACAACATGTTCGGCAATATTTACGTAAATTATTAACACATAAACAGTCAGTTTTTGCCACGTCATCATTTTATTATACGGAAAGTTAATTATGAATAAAATATATAACATGAAAGAAAATTAATACATTTGCGTAAATTATTGAGTAATTATTTAATAACCCTGGGCAATATATACAATCGTATCGTAGTCTCAAACTGAGCAGAGCTTGTGTTACTTATGAGTTGATACTAAGAAACTTAAAGTAAAGTATTTTTACAACTCTATAATTACAGATAAAACTATGGTTTGATTTGGTATTACAGAGGTGTCAAACTGAATTTTGCAGAGGGAATATCCCCTATCCGTGTTAACACCCGTTTAAATATATTAATAACGATTGAAGTATGATTTCTAATTAGTCCAGATAATGTCTACATAATTAGAAACTGTCGAAGATCAAAGGCGCGTTGATTAATAACCGTGGTGAGGGTTCAACTTTAACCAGTAGTTTGTGGCGAAGGATAATATTAGTAACTATTATAATTAATAAACAAAACTATTAGTTACATAATTGTTTTGGTAATAATGTATTATTATATTTTATCTTAATTACTGGCTACCCACTCCGGCTTCGCTCGGGAGTACAGGTGTTATAAATGTACACCCAAACCTTCCTCTATTAAAAAACACCGCTTGAAAATCCGTTGCGTAGTTTTAAAGATTTAAGTATACATAGGGACGGACAGACGGCGACAGCGACATTGTTTTATACTATGTCGTAATAAATATATATATATATAATGATGATTCAGATCTCTGTCCACGCATTTAAATAAAAATGTTTTTGTTTGACCATAAGTTCTAAAAAACAGATAATAAAAGAAATAAATAATATTTCGGCACAATTCACACAGCGTAATCCGATCCCAAGCTAAGTATAGCTTATGTTATACCACACTAATACTAATACAAACAATCATACTCATGAATATTTGTTAGTTGTGTGCGATGAATTGAACCCGCGACCGTCAAAAGAAAGGTGGTGTGCTAAACCGCTAGACCAGCGGGGTCGTCGGTAACAGCACAGATAACATAATATTACATAGTAACAGTTACATAGTGCTATTCCGGAGAACTAAGATGTTATACCTCAGTATACTGTAATTTTACTGTCATCTTTTAACTAGCTTAATAAAAAGATCCAGCTATGCATTATATTATTGCGTCTATTTGGCAAAATCTCTTTTTTCCCACACAAACGACTTCATACAAAATTCAAATAAAGGACCTAAATAATAATAAAAATATACGCTACTGGAATATAAATATCTAAATACAATAATAATAATAACATAACAATAATAATAATAGTAATAATAATAACAACAATCTCAAGACAATTCACACAGCGCCATATAGACCCAAGTTAAGCTAGCTAAAGCTTGTGTTATGGGTACTAGATAACTGATACAAATACATAAATTTTATTTTTTTCGTAAATACATACATATTATACATATAAAACACCCAGACTGACACAAACAATCATACTCATACATACAAATGTTT